GTGTGTGAATGGGTGGATGACTGGATGTGTAAAGCGCTTTGGGGTCCTTAGGGACGAGTAAAGCGCTATACAAATACAGGCCATTTACCATTTAATCATTCTCATAAAGACACACCAAACCAAACAGTAGAACTGTTACAGCCTTAAAAGCCCCCCAACCAACATAAAACATAAAGATGGAAAACTGATCCCAACATCTAAAAATTGATCCCAAGTTTCTTTGTGCATTTCAACAGTCACAATAATATTATAGGGCTGTAAGAAAAAAATAATTTGAATGAAATTATAACTCTGGCTTGCAGAAATGATTAAAAAAAGATGATGGAGATAAACAATAATTTTCTGTTTTTCAATGTTGTTCTTGTTCTGTTTTTTTTTTAGCCCCCCAAATACATACGACTAAATAAATAACCAATCCATTGACCATTTCTACTTTCTTAATCGTCCTCGATTTAATGAAAGTTCAAGGAAATCCTCTATTAGCCATTTTTAAGTTAAATAAATCCAAAATGTTTCCAAAGATTAGTACATTTTTCTGACCAAGTACTGCCCAAGGTAATCGGCGTTATAATTTTTGCCATAATCTTATAGCATTAAACAACTTGTGAAAGATGGAAAGGAAGGAGCTGCATTCAGTGCAACACTTGTCTGCCCGATGAGAAGTTAACTGAGGACGCATGCCTCAAAGTATAACGGATACTGAGGTAATATGAGGCAGCGCAGACGACCCGCCATCCGCCTGTCACATAAATGTTAAATAATCAATTTCAGATAGTGTTTGTAGTCCTCTCCGTTTATATTTAGACACACAGACGTAGCTGCTGCAAATTCTCAACAACTCAGTAGGTATGACAACAGCCATAATATTGACTTTTTAAAAGGTCACTAAATGGACTGGGATGACTGAATAGTGCTGCCAGTGCTTGTACAAGCTGTATTCATAACCGCTGCCATCACGTGTCAGGCATGTTCCAACCAGAATATTCTAATCATATCAGGTCTGCTACGTGACTCAGGCCACACAAACACTGTCGCCTTCTGCATAAACACAATAACGTGTTTATGTGGGTAAATGAAGAGAAATACCAGGCATTCAACACCCTACAGCCACAAGGACCAAGAAAGAAAGTGAAACTGGGGGGAAAACACCTAAAATACTGACATGCAAACTACTACTTCACATTTTTGTAAATGTAACAGAAGTCATTCTTAACTTGTTTAAGGAGTTCTGCATATATTGGTTTTATAAGAACTTTCAGATCTTCAGTTTAGGAAAAGAAGTTTGCATGAGCTTCTTAGAGTTTAAAACCAGCATGCTTTGAAAAACATTTGCTAGAAAACTGGCCGAGCTGCTCAGTATCTCTCCAACAGGTGGTAGACGTTCACATGTAAACAGATACAGCTGCTGGCTCATCTCATCAGGTTTTAAAGGCATTTCCAAATCCTCTCACAGTGTGTTCCTCTTAATAGAAATATTTCTTACTACACTAATCAATTAAATAACAAAAAAGAGTGGCAATATAGGTCAAAAGAAAGTGAATAGTCTATATATAGTTCCAATATGAAGGGTCTAATATGAAGTGAATAAATAATTCATTCTTGTAAACCATGCAGTGTGGATATTCTGATAGCTGCTAGGAGCACGTTGAAAAGCATCCTCACCTGTGTCAGGGAGCTGTAGACGGACAGCGGCAAGTCAACCATACGCAGAGCTGCAGTCCTCATGGACAGCTGTGAGCTCGTGAGGGTCTCATGTGTCATTGTGACGCTCTGCCCATGACTTGGCAGCTCCCTTATCTTCGACACCGCTCTGTGCAAGCTGAAGAGGATGACATTAAGGGATTTAACCTTGGAAGCTCAGGAAGGGGATATAATGACACTAATACACAAAGCTGTTGGTATTCTGTATGTACTGCTAGGAATACCTTGCTTAAAGTGAGTGAGCAGCCAGTTTTAACCGCATAACATATAATTAAAAGTCAGGGGAAAAAAGCCTGATAACATGCAAACTTTCATTCTTAAACATCACACACTCGAGGATTGCCATGAAAGAAAAGCCTGTAAAATGTATCCGATGCAGTGGTGTCGGTTAATTAAAACAAAACAAGTCCAATCTGATCCCGACCCTCTCAGAATCAGCTCATTCTTTGTACATGTAGCCATGGAAAATTACTTTATCTAGTTGAATTTGTGTACTTTTGCTGTTGAAACCATGAAATATCCCATGACACCGAAGCTATAATTTGTTGATTTTGGCTTTAGAGTGTGCACTTTGCCTGGGTGCAAAACTGATTCTCTTACAGCTTTTAAAAAGCTGAGAAAGTGTTTCTAAACTAAGAAAGCTTCATGTGTTTATCTCTTGTACTTAATTAGTTATAAGGGCTAAATTCATGGTATTATTTTTTAAATCAACCCCGTTTACTTTGAGGACTGTAACAATTTTAATAGAATTGAGGTAAAAAACGAAAAATGTTGGCATTACTTAATTAAATATGCACACTTCCATCTAACAGCCAAGTCTAAGTCTGCACAAGACACTCACAGCTGGACGATCCAGCCATTTAAAGCCAAGCCTGAGCCCCACACAGTGCTCGTTGTTAGTCTTAGATGTTTAAAGTTTGCTTGTGTGAGGGTTATGATGTTTGTCACAAGTATGAGAGTCTGAGAGCCTGAAACTGCAATAACAGAGGTTCAGTTCAGTTCATTTTTATTTCAAACATAAACATTCATCAACATTTTATAAAATCTTTCCATGCAGTTGTTTGAAAAGGAGTAGGCAGAAGTATATACTTATTTAGCCCTACCCCCTCAGGTTTACATCCTCATCATCTAAATTTGAACAACAAAAACGTATACAATGCGCCTTCAACTTAGAACATAACATCACAAAAAATATTTTCTCATGTTCAACTAAAACTATATTTAGATTTGCTAATTTGCAGAAGAAAATAAACACCAGTTTT